TTGTTTTGTTTCCATTTACTGTAGAAAAAATGAAATTTCTTTTTTTCTACAGTAAATGGAAACAAAACGAAGCAACTAGCAGAGTAATCTAAAGCGTTAACATACCGCTTGTGTACTCACTGTCCTAGCTATCTGTGTGTGATCGTATTGCTGAGAGTGTAAATATACTGTGATCACGATACCGGTTAATGTTTGGATCACGCTACTATTTCATTTTTCGGAGGTTTCAGCTTCAGTGACTGACTCACGTGTTTGCACCACTGTCATCGAACTAGTTAATCCGAACAACAAGAGCAGGTTGATATAGTATATGCAATTTATGCATTACTTTAATCACATTGAAGAACCCACTGTGGATTCTGGACGTAACTGGTACTTAAACACTGAACTCAAATTATTGGCCGTGGTCGTTGTTGTTTTGCTACGGCCTTTAAGTGACCAACAGACAAATTTGGTTCTAGAATTTGATCGAACTCCTCTGTTCTAGTTAATTTCTTCAAGACACCCTTCTCCTCCGCTTCGTGTCCAAGTCCGTGCATCTTTTGATTACAATAAAATGTAGCATCCCCAATATTACTTTGGTTTTATTTTCTAAGATACATTCGTAGCGCTTGTACAGATGTAAAAACAACATCCTGGCTAAATGACTATTTAGTGGCCGGCCAGATTGACTCAATTCACAATAATTTCTACGGAAATCAGTGACTTTGTTGTTGTACGATGATGATGCGGGGGAATACCTGCCAAGAAAAATATCTGTCACGTTCTCGGACATCATCGCTATTCTTGGTCTGTTTGTTCAGTGACGCCACGCACACCTATTCTGTTTGCCACCTAAACAGTCATCTTCCCATCCGCAACCTGCGACTCACCGGGTAACTTCCTAACCTTATTGTGTTTAAGTGGGTACTTAACGGTGTGTAAAAGCAGTGGGAAAAATCACCGGCAACAAATCGTGTTCACCGGATGGGTCAGTGGATTCGCACTGTCGGTGAGGCCTAACTAGGTGGAAACGACTGTCCATTGCTGTCCAGCTTTTCAGTTCAGCTTTGTTTGTTGTTTACACGAAGAAATTCATGTGTATGATAAAACTGTTTCATCAGTTCATGGTGCAATTATTTTTAGTGTCTTTGTTTTGTAATACTATCATGGTATTATATTTCACAAAACACAATAATGATAACTGCGTGAGAAGGGTTATGGAAAACACTGCAGGTCCACCACTGGTAACGAATATGGGCCGTACATAGCAATGTTTCTAGCCATTTTACATCATACTGAGGACCCCAAATAGAAAACTGAGAAGGACGAAATGCATCCAGTGGTATTCTGAACTCTCATTCCTCTGATCTACGTCGTGTCGGGTTCTCGTCCGTACTCGAAAGCGCATACTCATTGATCTTTTTTGGCTTTTACGCAAGATGCTTCATTCCTGCTATTTACATTGTTCTTTCTTCCGTTCAAGTAGTCCAGACTTGATTACCACCATAAGGATAAAACCCTATTTCAAATGTGCTGGTTACCCTGTTGCTTGGCGGTTCCCTTCATTTGGCTGTTGTTTCCTTTTTCTCCAACGGTCCTTTTTATTTGACTCCTAATTGCTTCGGACATTAAGTCTTATGCCCACTATGTTGCATCAAGTCCAAGTCGTTATCTTCTGCGGATTTTTTCTTCCTGTTTGCTCGTTTGCTGGGATGGAATTAAGTCGGGTGGCTTGACTCTATGGCCCACTAATTGCTTCCGTGATGTTCATTCAGCAGCCCCATCTAACCACAACATGAAACATTAATTCAATTGCATCGATCAACCCACTCTTCGGATACAAATTTATGTTTTATCATTTCGTTTCGAACTAGGACTTCCACTGGTCATGTCTCGGACTTTGAAAGGATTGGTGAGCAAGCGGAAGCGCCGCTTCCAAGAGGATGGATTCGATCTGGACTTGAGCTACATTACTGCACATATTATAGCAATGGGATTCCCGGCGGAGAAATTAGAAGGTGTTTATCGCAATCATATTGACGATGTAGTTCGCTTTCTTCAAACTCGTCATCCGAAACATTACAAGATCTTCCATCTGTAAGTCGACGTTGTATGCGGGAGTTGATGATCTTATTCCATCGACTGTTTTTGGTTCTAGAGGCTCTGATAAACATATTTGTCTTCACTTTTCGTCGTAGGCATTCAAATACCTAGCATGAAACCCAGATAAGGGACCCAAAACGGGTGATTGATCCGTTTCGTACGACGTGGGCCTCGAAAATATAACATCCCCCCCCCCGAAAAAAATTCACGGTTAATTCTCCGTTTGGAATCTCTAATCACTGATATACGTATGGGAGTTTTGGTGATTTTCTATGATCCGTTTACTTTTCCACCATTTGGTTATTAAGTTTAAATAAATCATCGCAGGGAAATCGCTTTCCTGTTTCAAACGGGAGGAAATAGTGCTTCAAAGGGGCAGGTCAAGTAACTGTCGGAGATGATGGGGAAGATCTGCCGCACGCTTTTTCAATGGGACGAGTAAAACGCTATTAGTCTCAGTAAGCGTTTTGGTGTCGTTAAAGCTCGGCGGACATTCTTGCTCCAGTAGCGGGAATGAGTGCAGTTTGTTATTGGGGTTTGCTCTAATGCGACAAGAAGAAGCCAGAACACAGTTAAATAAAGGGAGACCTGGAGGTGATGAACAACAGAATCTCTCATGTTTTTGGGTAAATAAGCGAAAGGTAACACAGTGTTCAATTATTAGAGATTTTACTCTTTAGGAAGTAAACTGTTTATCTCCATGCAGTCAATATACGAGCATATGCTTATCAAGTACTCGTCGTTTCTATCCCCTCAGGATATGCGATGAACGACCGAAGGTGGGCATGACGAGAGACTGATAGATTAATCTAATATTTTTGTCATCTACAGCTCATCCTCTTGTGAATATCACAAGGGAATTAGTTTAATCTATATTGTCTTTAAACTTCTCACTGGCATCATACTCCGTCGATTGTCTGCGCATCTGAACGCTTGAGAATCAAGCTAATTTTAAACCTGATCGAGGTTTTATAGACCACATTTTCACCCTGTCAAATTTTGGCACACAGGCCCTTCTTTCGTAGACCCACCGTTTGTGTCTTTCTTGATCTGAAAGCGGCTTTCCACACAGTCAACCGCCCTATATTCAGGCGCTGCCTCTCTCTGAAGGACGTGCCCAAGAGGTTCATTTCAATTTTTAGTTCTCTTTACACTAATAACCGAAACCGAATCCGTGTTTACGTCGAATTTTCGNNTTCGCCCGAATTCACCACGGAAAGCGGTGTTCGACAGGGTTGCTCTCGCTCTCTCCTTTTCTATTTAACGTTGTTATAGATTTGATCATGGGAACAGCCCTATCCTGTTGCGAGGATAGTGGCATCGATTTACTCCCAGGTGGCCGACTGTCTTATCTGGAGTATGCAGATGACATTGTGCTACTAAGTGAAGATCAAGGTAAGTTGCAAAGTATTCTGGATAGTTTGAGTGCTAGTGTAGCCACGTTCAGTATGCGGTTTGCACCTTCAAAGTGTAAAGTGCTACTACAGGACTAGGTTGGTTCAGCACCTAACCTTACTCTCACTGGATAAGTTATAGAACATCAGACAAATTTTGCTATCTGGGCAGCTACATCTCACCCGGCGGACGCATCACGATTGAAGTGTTGATACGCATGCAGAAGGCTCGATTGGCACTTGCCAACTTTAGACATTTGTGACGCCGTCGCGGCATCTGACTGTCAGTGAAGAGTGGAGTATATGCCGCAGCAGTTAGGCCAGTTCTGCTATGCGGCTCCGAGATTTGGCCATTACGGGAATAGGATAAAGGTAGCTTGTCTCCGTCGCATTGCACTTGTTGGTCGCATAGTTTTAGGTAGTCGCAGAGGCACACTGGATCAATTTGTCGACTTCCATAGACTGCGTTTTGTTGGGGCATGTGCTGCGCATATCACCAAATAGATTGCCGCGATGTTATTTGTTGAGGCAGGTAGGTGTTGGTTGGAAAAAGTAAAGGGTGGCCAATCTGAGACTCGGCATGAGAGTATGAAAACCCTGACCAGGAGGAGAATTGCTCACACAGGCTGCGTTGTGCTTCCTTGCTAGTGACATCGGAATCAACGTAATTATTGGTTTGGGAAACTGTGTCGTGAACAATGGAGTTCGTGCATCGCGATTTCTTTGCAAACTTAATTCTCACGAATTCTCTGTTTTCATTCTGACACTGGTTCGAACATTCCAATCGTCCTTCATTCAAATGGAAAGCCATAAGACAACAACGAAAGTCGCCGCACGAAATTGAATGGCTGCAAAAAGTGAAACTGGAACATCTACAGCTCAGTTTTCACAATTGGTAATCTTGCACTTCCTTGCTTTAGTTTCGACAGCCTGTCTGGGTAATTAGAAAAATCGGAGTGACTGTGCCATCGAAATGCGTGCTGGACAACAACCAATAGGTGAAAATACGTTGTTCTTCACCCCGTTGTATTCCGTTGTTTCTCAGATGGTGACGGTGCTTGAGTGTTTCAACTCTCTGACACTGGTGCACTTCGGGTTGGGTATCCGGAAATAGAATATGGTCACCACTATCTAATTCGGGCGGTAGACAGATTCACCGTTATCGTGCTTGAAACCACACAGATGGGAAACACCACTGATTCTTTGAGTTACTTGGGCATCTTTATGTACACTGAACTGGTTTCCACTGTACATCACACAGTGGTCTGTTTGTAAAACAGTCATGTTTCGGCAAAAGGATTACCAATTTTTAGGTGACTCGAATCGCTCCATTTCCGTTCTGCTCTGTTCCGCCCTTACGGTCACATTTCACGTTAGTTTTATCTGCATCATGTCGAGATTGGTCATCCAAACACTGCAAATCAAATTCGCATTCGTCGAAATCAGATTCTGTTTAGTCGTTGCTAGCCGTCGATTCCATACTCCAGTTTTTTTCTATGTGCTCCGTGAGTCGGACTAGTTTATTTGCCTCCATGAAATCACTTGTTGCATCTTGCCTGTGATCGATCCTGGTTCCGATACTTTTACAGGGCTCAATTACACCATGCGTATATATATATATATATACATATATATATATATATATATTGCAAATCTAGAGTTGTCTGTTTGTTTCTTTTGATTACATCCTCCTTTTTAACTAGTAATTCGGTGTTCGAGTTAGACGCCGTCTATGGTTGGCGAAAACATGCCACATGTACGTACTTGGCATGCATAAATAGACAGACACTCACAGTGGAAAACATTCCATTATGCAAATTATTCACAAACACGGTTTGTCTATGACCCACTCAAACATACAATAAGTGGCTTCAATACCATATTAGGTGTGCTCGTACACAGTTTCTACCTTCATCTATCATTACATGTGTTTTAGACGGATGTTCATCGAAGATGATTCGGTGTTAACGTTGTAAGTTTAACCAGACGTTTTAATCCTTCATAATGAAATACCCACTCAAGATAATCACTACAATATACGCTTCCCCGGTCCGAGTAATGTAGTCACAGTTTATTTACTGTGGCGACCCTCGATATGACTTCCATTNCATTCTCGGTTAAGATACAGAACCCATGCTCCATTGGAAAAATAACTCCCGAAAGAGCCGATATTATTCTATAGTAATTTAAATGTTTTGAAATGAATTTGGTGTCAGCTTTAGGTTCCCACCATCTCCATCATTTTATTTTTTTTGCTCTAATGTTTCTTGCTATTGTTACTTTACACTGCAATGCATGCTTTTCGTCGTTAGCTTCGCTCGTACGTTAAAAATGTATACATCCCCATACAAATCACATTTGATAACGGTTGACAGACTTATAGTACGTTCCTTGCCACTCTAGGTTTCTGCCAGTTCACGCACCCAACTAATCCCACGATTCACCGCTATCCAAAAGGTGGTGGTCTAGAGAGCAAACTTTTGTGCATCCCTAATATTTGATTAACGCATTCATAACGTTAATCACTGTTATCTTATATTACGTTGCTTCTTGTGGCTTTCGATTGGTCACTTCCCGGTAATTGCTTGTTGGTAATTATTGTGTTGGAGTTTATAGGTAGCATAATTGGCTGAGATCAGTGTTGAATGCTGTTTTGTGTTCGTCGGAAGGATATGTACGCTGATGTATTGGCAGTGACCAGAGGTGATGTGATAGGGGTACGTTTCTTTTTGGATAGTTCCGTTTCTCATTACCCATAGTATAAGACAGCAACCAAAACCGGCGCACGAAAGTGCATGGTTAATGGTTGTTCAAACTGAAACTGATAGTGTTGTGAAAAACGGTGGTAGGTTCGAACCTCCGTGGTCTCATATTCCCAATGCTCGGTTAGAGGAACTCGCATCACGTGAGCCACAGCAACTGGAATGGCCGACCATACACGACCCAGATAGTTCAGACGTTGTTTTGGGTCGGATGACAACGAAGTTGTATATCAGTAAAATTGGGTACCGGATGCATGATTTCTACCCCGGGGATCAGCGTGCGCCAGTGGCAGTGACTTTTCGACTATGGTTTCAAATTTTTCACGTAACTAGTCACGCCGCACTAGATAGTTGTTCGGTCGTCGGCATTATTGCAGTTCCTGTAGGTGAACTGTGTATGGCACGATCGTATGCCAAACCGCTGACGAGCGGCGCTCAACGGAATGTGCAACGTGATCAGATTAATGCTGATTATAAATCTGCTACGCGAATCCTCGATCGCGGGATCATATAATACAAAACTATTATGATGGTTGATTATGAAGGGGGGGGGCTAATTTCGGTGAAATTTTTGACGGTCCTTTGAGGTCCCTGAGGTCACATAATGAAAATCGTAATACCGAAGACAAATTGCTCTTATCATCTGGAGGATCTAACCGCCTATACCTTTAATCGGAAATACAAACAAACTGGCAAAACGTTTCACACTATATTGGCTTTATCTTGGTGAATTTAACCGCATTTTATATATCAATATGGGAAGTCACACTTCTGAACCTGCGTGGGATCACCTCGGTTACGCCTGGGAGGACATGATTTATGAGTTTATACAAGGATTGTCGTTTAAGATCAAAATTCCTATAATTCGGCATATTTCCTGGGGAGATTTACAAATGGCATTATTTTTCACAAAAATTTGTCACCTAAAGTGAGTATGCATGCCACAAACTGGTTTTCTCTGAAGGGAATCAGGAATTTGTTTAGGCGGAAGAAAAAATAATCTTAAGCTCGCAGAGAGAAAGATTCAATGGTGTCCAGTTCAGTTTCAGCTTTTGCAATTAATAACCATTCACTCTCGTGCACCAGTTTTGTCTGTTGTCTCATGACTGCTCATCTGGGTGAAGGAGTAAGGGGAAGATTAGAATGTTAGAATCACAGTATGCGAGCGAAAAAGAGTTAACGAAGACTAAGATTTCATAGATAATGAGTGGATACATTAGTTTCACTGTTCGCGACACTCAGCCACATCACTCATTATCACTAGCCAATGGTTACAATGATCTAGATGTCTCCATCCAAGGGGTGTGATGTTCAGGTCAGTTCAATTCAGTTAAAGCAACTTCAGTGCCCCTCCGACGCTCGTCGGTGGAAACTCACCACAAAGATAAAGTTACTTCGAAGTATTTCAGATACACGGATACCACTTACTCCATATCGAGTCTGTTGTGATCGAGAGATGTGGATTGTATGGTCTGAGCCGCTTTTATTGGCTGTACATCCGTTCAAACTTGGCCGCTGTTTCGGTTAGGCACCCTGTGTATGATGCCTGAGTTTGGCTTGGTTCAAGTTCCGCCAGGATAGATCTCGTTGCCTCCCATAAGTAAGCATCGTTAGAGTCACCATCTTTACTGATGATGAAATGTTATACTGTATTCTATTGTGATTCGTACTTTTTAAGCATCTACGCCTACATTCCCGTCAGAAAAATACTCTTACCACCGTCGCAGAGAAAAAACAAAAGTGCGGGCGAAAGAAAGAGAAAAGGAGTTCATTCAATCTCAAATTCAAATTTTTATTATGGGGAAAAACTTACAAAAACTTCGCTTATCAAATCCCATTGGGGGTTTACACTTTGGTTCGGAATACGATTCACAAGATCGCAGTTAGTCCATGTACGTAAACGCGTAATGGCATGTTTTTGACGAGCACAGGAGAATATTTTATGTAGTTGGGTGTTGAAAAATAATGTTTGCCAGAACATCATCAAGCTGACGCTTGAAAGATACTAATGTTGGCGCACAGACCACGTGAGGTGGTAGAGAGTTCCATGTGCTGCACACTGACTGCAAATGAATGGCGTCTGCAGTCGAGACGGCTCTTTGGGAGTGCCAACTTCAGAGATGCCCTCCGAGGTGAACATTGGTTGATAAGACTAAGAGGGATCTACATGGATGGTTGGGCTGTTGGAAAATCCGATACAGTAATATCATATCGCCTCTGATTTGACGATATTGAGACGAGTATAGCCCCAGTAGCTGTAATCTTTCGCCATAGGTTTTGAAATGTAAACCTTTGACCATCTTGGTAGCCATTCTCTGTGGATGTTCAAGTGCCTTCCGATCTCGCTGCAGCCATGGGTTCTAGGCCTGTATCGAGTACTGGATGTATGGACGGATATATGTGGCTAACAGACGTGGAAACAAAGCCGGCTCAAACGATCCAAAACACGCTTGAGCAGTCCAACCTGTTTTATCGCCATGGATGATGCCGTGGAACAGTTTGTGGAGCAACTGAAGTCTTCGCGGATGACTACTCCTAGATCCTTCTCGGATGCAGCAACATGCATGGTTTCGTGTCCGAGAATGTAGGAATAACGACCATTGTGACGTAGTGATAAAACTTTACACTTGGCAACGTTGAATTCCATATCATTGGAGACAGACCATTTGTGGGTTTCGTCAAGGGCGTTCTGGAGATTAAATGAATCTTCAGGTTTTGTTATTGTCCTCCATATTTTGGCATCGTCCGCAAACAGCAGAGTTTGTGGTCCGAGGACGTCTGGAAGTTCATTTATAAAGGCAAGGAAAAGACGCGGGCCTAGTACAGATCCCTATGGAACCCCACGGTTGGCATCTATTGGATCAAAAAGTGAATCGGAAGCACGAACTGACATGGTACATAGGCGAAGAAACTCCTGGATCCAGCCAAGTACGAGTCCACGGATCTCATAATTATACAGCTTCCGTATCAGTATTTGATGATTTACTCTATCAAATGCTTTAGAGAAGTCCAGGTAAATAACATCTACCTTGGCCTACAGCGTAAGTCTAATCGCCCCGAGCCAAAATGAAATTAGTTGTACATGAACGATTTCTTCGAAACCCGTGCTGGGCTGTGGATAGTAAGTCATTTTTCTCCAAATGATCCATTACCAAATCTGCAACAATAGATTCCATGACTTTGGACAACACTGGAAG